TATTATATTTTTTTGTCAAAACGAGTACGTGGTTCGAAACGTAATTAAAAAAAAAAAGAAAAAAAAAGGATGTTCGAGAGATAGAGGTAAGTATCCATTTCCATTAGATCCACACCTGATTCAGTCACCATCCAGAACCTCCCTGAAAGAGTGATATTTATTTCCACTATGTTTTCTTCAAAGTATCCTCTTTGTTACCCAGCGCAGTGTAGAGTTAATTCACGCACATCGAGGTCAACCGATCGAATTCGTCGCTTAATTTACCTCTCGAATTCATAGCGCGTGAAATAACCGATAGTGATCGTGCATTCCTGAAACGGAATGACCTTACATCTTCATCTACGACTAGTTTAATGACAATTCTTCTTTTGTACCACAAAGTGCGATCGAGCGCCGGTATTCCGCTTTTCACATTCCTTTTCCTTTTTTTTTCTTCTTCAGAAATTCAAAGAACGTGGGCGCAACGGCAGATACCCATGATTGTTTAGAAAGCGTCGAGCGGCGCGAGTCATGTCAAGCTGGTCCCGGGTACGACCACACGCCACCGTTACCCATTGTGCTTCCAATTGTGCCTACAAACAAGGGAAAAAAAAATTTTCAATAACTGTAATTTTAACACGCGCCAATAATACACTTGTAACAATTGGTCACATTGTAATATAAGACTTATTTGATTTTTAAGAGAATATTCTTCTTGACTGTGTAAGTAATCACAGATATAATATTTATTCCCTATTATGATATAAACATACAATATTAAATAGAATAGTAATCTTAGCCAAATTAATTCTCTTAAATTAGATCTTGAAACTTGATGGAATTAATGTTCATAGATATAAGAAATTGTAAAAAAAACAATGTTAAATAAGAAACTCACCTTGGTGCGTTTTACCGGCCTGGAAGGCAGAGGACTGAAGATACAATAAGGGCTGTCGAATGCATCAAACGTGATTGCTCTCTTGGCATTCGGCTTCCGTTGTTGTACGGACGTAAAGTCGTGAGGAGTCTGGAAAGGATAGACACACTAGCTACAGCCGGCAAATAAGAGATGTTCTTAGAAAAAATAGAATTAGCTGTACATTTCGAAAAGTGAATTCGAAGGTACGAGAGGGGAAAAACCGATTTGAGATTGCAAGTAATTGACAAAGAGAGACAGATGAATCTTAAAGGAGACAGACCGAAAATTTACATTTTTTGAGAATTAAAGAAATTGTGATGACATTTTGTTGCATTCTCTTTTTGTTTTCAACATTTTTCTGGAGAAAGAGAAAGAAAGAGAAGACTATCCATAACTAGGAATGACTAGGCTCTTAGGTGAAGACTTAAAGGACGATTCTGGGACTTTTGTTTGTATACTGCTCCCTGTCTATGAGCTCAAGATTTTATCAGAATCGAACAACCTCTCAAATTATGAAATTATAATTTAAGAACCTCTCAATTACTTTCACTTTTCTATTGAATTTTGTATTACAAGGAAAACAGAATAGATTTGTCTTGAAATTTTGTTTTGAAGAAAGAAAGAAGGTTTTAGGATTTCGAGGAAAAAGGGTAAGAAAAATTGTAATACTTTATTCCAATAAGAACAAATGTCAAAATAAAAAAAAGAGACTAGGCCTTCACATTTTAGATACGCGCCGTGCAACTAGAATTGTTCTATCCAGCATAAATATCTTTGGATTGGGAAAAGATCGAGGTACTTTGGTACGCTAGGCCAGGCCTGTACAAGAAAAATGATTTCAGTTAGTGTATGCAATTATTAGTTAGTGTATGCAATTAACATGCGACAACTAAATATATCATCAAAAAAAGAAGAAAACAAGTAGAAAAAAATAATATAAATATTTACACAAATTATTTTATATATAAATATTAATATTAATAAAAATATTTAAAAACACTTTATGCTTGTGTAAGGCTACATCTAGGAGTTGTTTTAAAGGACGAAGATTTGACATGGAATAGGTGTGTTAACTCAATTCAAAATGACAAAATTTATATAGGATCGATTGAATAATATTCCTTCCCATGCTAATGCTGCATATTTTGCAAGCAATGTTATTAATACATATATTAGTCATTTGCGATGTATTATTAGAATCCATTCTCAGCAAAATTAATAAGACTGAAGCAAACAAAAACGAAACAAGATCGGTCACCTGCCGATATTTATATTTACAAGCTTACAACGAAATAATGAATAATTTAATTCTTCGAGTAAAAGTTGTAAGTGACCACAATTTTTGTAAGACCAACAATACATACACATATATGCATATACATTTATATATCATAAAGGTATGTGCATAAATAAATTTCAATCATTTATATTGGTCACGATGAATAACATAAACGTTTTCTCTCATTTTATGATGTATAAATTAATCTTTATATTTTTAAAAGTAATAAAATTAATATTAATAATTAAATAAATACAAATAATTAACGGCCAAGGTCTCGTGGCATTGGTACAAGTTTCAATAAATAGATCGAATGTTAGTTTATGTATTATAGTATTATACCTAAAATTAACAAGAATGATAATCTTTGGATTGGGCAATATTAAGCGACAAAAGGAATAAGCAGTAGAAGAAAAAATACAGATTTATATCTTCTGCGCTAACTGGATTTTGTCTTCAAATAATGAATAAGAAGCGTTAAATAAATGAGATGTATGAAGATACAGATAAAAATTTAAGTACAAAGACATGTAGCATTGAAAGAAAAGTTAGAAGGCCGGCTAGCGTGTCTAAGGACGATTGGTACGAGAATAATACCAGGATAAGGCGGGTTGATTATGAATTTGATTTTGAGTACGTTGTTCTACCTTTGTAGGACTGGTTCCTGCCGTCAAAAAGCTATCTTCTAGTGCCATAGATGCAGGTGAGAACAATGTAGAAGCTTCCAAACTTTTACTCTATGATACAAAAAATAAATATACATTATCATCCACATGTTTCAACTTTCTCGAGACTTTAAAGTGCATTCAAGAAACACAACAATTACATCAATATCATTAACTTGCCTATTGCAGATGAAGTGTGATTGAGGTATATTTCTGGATTTATTTAATTAAAAGCATTTCGTAAAAGTTAATCTCTTGTAACATTTGTATTCATTGAACGCAACGATGACACGTAATTCCGTGATTGATAATCACAGGGGGGGGGGGGGTTCGAATCCAACTATCAAAATATTATTCCACTGACAATGAGGAAATCTGATACTAAATATTAGCATCAATATTTTAATGTTATAGATTCCCTTGCAGGAATAAATTTATAATATATTATTAATAATTTTGAAAGACAAGCTATGCATCAATGAACACAAAATTACAAGTGATTTGTTTCAAATATTTATCTGAGTAATAAGTAACATACTGGTGTTTCCACAAGGAAACTAATTTCGGAGTTGTCCTGAGATGCCCAAGCCTGAGAAAGAGCCTTTCTCGCGCGTTTTCCTCCAGGTGCACTGTTTTCTTTACCGCGCCTTCGTATCATACTACTGTAGCCCGAGTCTTGGTCTTGAATCGTACTCGTTCCAGCTTCGTTCTCGGTCTCTTGCTTTATTATCTCGGTCAATGCATCTAGACGACTAGGAGTCGCGGGCAACTGTACCGCTCCGGTTCGTCGCTCGAGCTCAGCTAAAGCGTTTTTAAATGGGGTTGGTGTTCTTGGTGTATTACCGTCTGAAAAAAATTATAGTAGAAAGTGATCTTAAAAAAAAACCTTGTATTTAAAAATATTGTGCTTATAAGTGTGATTTGAGTAGAGATTTCGTGGGCTGTAAAAGATTATAAATTCGCCAATAATTCACAATTCATTTGAAACTCGTAGTGACATATAAAAAAATGCCATTAAAAATTTACCGTTTTGACTTCTTCGGAAACCAGTAGGCTGCGGAGTCGTGAGCGGGCCAGGACTGCTTCCTTTGGGCGTACTTGCGCGCGGCCACGTTTCCGACGGACTCAGACTGTTCAGGAATTGCGAAGGACTGAATGGAAGTTGTTTTATGGGAGTCGAAGGGGTGATGTTCCCTGTTTGCACCTGTTGGCTCGTTACGATGTAATTCGACTGATTCCCGCTGTCGGAGACGTCTATCCTCTGCAGCGAACTGTGCGCGTTTCTACGTCTACGTAATATAGGCGGAGGGGTACTCTTCTTGTCCACATGCTGCTCGGGTATATCCTCCAAGTCGGGCATCGGCATCAGTTTTATCTCCGAGCTCTTCGAACCAGATGTTTCGTTTTGTATTTGTTGCAAATTGAAATATCTACGCAGAAAAAAGAAGAAAATCGAATGCTGCCCAGAGATATATATGATGTCATTCATTTCAAAGACGATATACTTAGATAATGACGAAACTGTCTCGGCTTTCGCTCGTGAAGATCCTCTCTTCAATGGAGACGAGCACTTTTCATTGCCGTGTGTATGCCTGTTTAATTCCAGAGCATTCTGATATCCCGCCGTAGCATGCTGTTCCCAATTTTTGATCCAACTCAGATGCTCGAGGTCGAGATTCTGCGAGGAGTTACCCGCTGTTACTGTTGAACTACTAGCCGAGACAGTTTTCATACGATTCTGATCATCTTCCAGAAGAAGCGTATCCTTTACAATAGTAGCACCCTGTGCATTTTTTCTCTTGCCTCTGCCTAAATACAGTAAGTTGCGTTCATTTCTCATGTTCTATCAAATCCAGCAGGCATTATGAACACAATCATTACATACAGTTCAATGACAAAGAACATATTTTATATTTATCGCATATAAAATTTATATGCGTTACTGTATCAAAATATATTATATTAGTGCATCAAAATTTACCATCGTAAACAATACCTTTGGTCGCAATTCTTCCTTCTTCACCTTCATATTTCCTTCTCATCGTACTATTCCAATGATTTTTAATCGCATTGTCAGTCCTACCCGGTAACAGCTTAGCGATTTTTGCCCATTGATTGCCGACTCTACGATGAGCATCAACGATTATTTTGTCTTCAGCCTCCGTCCATGCAGTTTTCTTTATCTCCGGATTCAAGTGATTGTGCCATCGTTCCCGGCATTGTTTGCCAATCCGACCTTTAAGATGTCGCGCTATCACCGTCCACTTTTTCGGACCATACTTCCGTACAAGTTCTACTACTTTTTCATCTTCCTGTAAAAACAGAAGAATTTATAAAATATAATAAAGAAATTTGTATAGATTATCTGTCTTATATTTAATAGTTTCTTTTAATATATAAATGCAACAAATCTCTTCAATGCTAATAATATATTATTTGATAATAATTCGATAATGAAATAAACGATCTAGTCAGCTTTTCAATGGTCAAAAAATAGTTTCAAGAAAAATGTTATCCCTTAAACATTGTCTGAATATAATATTAATGAATAATCTGGTTTGTTATACGATACTACATGTATAAGGGGATATCTTAAGCAGGTCTCAGCTAAGGTCTCAACTAGTGGGAAACGCCATAATCGCACGTACGCGCACTCGATTCCCGGAGCCGCGTTATTACTTGCCCTTGGCTGTTGCCAAGTGCATTGGCACGGCGACGCAGCATCATTGTGGTCAGAGCTTTTTCTTATTGCATACCCCACCGAGGCGACTGGCAGACACGAGTGCTGGGGTCCTTGTGTCTGTATGCGCTTCGCCTCGTGTAGGTGGTATGTGCAGTGCCGTACAATAATACTATACTATCCAGCGTATGAAACATTCGATACAATGTAATATCGCTTCACATTATCAACCGCAATACTTACAAAAAAACCCCAAAGAGTGAAAAATTCTGATTTTAATAAAATTTTATACACTTAATTTATATAGATAAATTTAGAAGATATCAATACGAAATAAATAGTTTTAAAGAATAAAAGAAATGATATGTAAAGCAATTTTCAGTTTTTTTCGTTATATCTCAAAATTCGAGATATTGAAAAAATTGTATTATGAAAAATTGTATGATATTAAAAAAATGTAATACAAAAATTTTATAATTAAATTACATTTATTTATCTAGGTCTATAATATTTTTTAAAAATACCATTTAAATGGTAATTTTTAAAATACAAATTTTGAAAAAAAAATTTTTTTTTTAATAGTATTGACGTAAATAAATAGAGATAATTTTATTAATCATCTTAACAACACGAGAAATATTGAAACGTGAAAAACATCCTCGGAAAACTTATATTTTTCTTCAAAACATAATGATGATTTTTAAATTGTAGGTACGTACAAGAGAATCCAAACTGAGTGTAATTGGATATACGTATACATTTCATATATTCATTGTAAAATCATTGGAGACCGATTGAATTTGGGAAAGATTTTTGGGAGGATGATGAAGACGAGACGTTAACAAGAACTGCCCACCTCCTTCGTCCATGGACCCTTCACCAGTTCCGGGTTCACGACCTTCGCCCATCTCTGTTGACATTGTACATCACTCCTATCTGGAAACTGGCCGGCTATAATGTCCCATCGCAAACCAGTGCCCTGTTGTTCCGCGTTGCTTACTAGTTGTTTCAATAAAGCGTCCTGCGAAAGGAAAAGCGACGTATAGGAAAGCGAAAATATTTCATTCCACCTTGCCCACAGCATTTTATTTGCGCGCTTTGAATATACGAAACAAGGAAGGACGGACGTATAAGAGATCGATCGATTCTCGAAGGCTTTCCCACGTAAAGCCGCCTAAGTGCACCCTATGTTCTATGGAGTAACCGAAGCATCTGCCTCCCGATACGGTGGCGCAAGCCACTCGCTACAGAAAATACGAGGGGGACATTTTTTTCGGGGGGATCCGCATGTTCATTGTTTTCTCCCCATCCTTTTTCCCCTTAACTTGCTACATGGAAGCGATACGGTGTAACAATGTATACGCTTGAGGTATAAAAACGTATAACCAATATAAATTTAAAAGATCAGCCAAGAGCTTTTTCGGTCAAATAAAAAAAAAATTACAAAATATTAATTTTATTACGATTAATCTATTAAATATTAAACATTACATTTTTTTCTGAATAGATTGATTGATTCTCGATAGAGTGACTCGATATAAATTGAAATAAAAAATATTTCTGCAATAAATAACATTGGGACGTTAAATAGCTTGATAATAGAACAATTGTCTTATTCTTAAGGCTTCCACGGGTGTTTTTTATATAAAGATTATGCGGTTCGCGGGTTTCCTCCAAGAATGGATCTGGACACGGAGAAGATCCACGAAACGCGTAATCTCCATATAAAACAATTGTCTGTCAAGCAGAAGATCATGTCCAGCTTCAATTCGTCGATCTTTCTCATATATGAGAAATTCTGTAAAAAATTTCGAAAAAGATCATTCCATTATGACAGAAACAAGAACCAAAAACAAATTAAAATTGGGAAAATAAAATCATGATGATCGAATAATGCCAGCCTTGTGTTCAAACAAAATATTGGCAGTTTTAACATGCGCTTGCTATTTTCATCAGAGATAACTATTCTCGTTATATAACTGTTCTCATTATGATATTCACTTCCGAGTTCAATAAAATACCATACAATCTCTTCATGTCTCTTAGTGCACTCATACTTGAAAAGTGTGTTACCTGACTTAAACTGAGCATTAACATCAACTGTGTCCTTTGAGACGCAGGAAAAGAAGAAAAAAAGAAAGTATTGGCTAAAACTAATTGGTACTAAATAACTGAAAAAATATATGTGACAAATTTACTTCGTCTTTGGTCCATCGTCCTTTATTTATGTGCTTTCCCTGCCCGTAATTTGTGACGCTGGGAAGTTGATTTTGCGCCTGACTTTGTACTTGACCGCCTTGGCTAACTGTACTGTACTCGTTGTCGGACTCTCCACCGCTGCTAGAATCGTAACCAGATCGAGACCTGAAAAAAATGGTAAACAATGATAGCGATGAGATAATTGATACTGAAACAAATACTATAGGCAGTCAGTTAATAAATAATAATTTCTTTGAATATAGTGAGCTAAAAAAGTCTCTAAACAGTTTCTGACTACAAGATTTCACCCTCATCCAAATAACACTACAGCTAATTACAACGGCACGTGTTATCGGCAAAATTGACAAAGAAGATAAAAAATACTCGATATTCTTAATAACAATAAGAAGTAAGAAATTAGATTGTGTGTCAATATCATTTCCTGAATGCTAATGATATAGCCTTGTAAGAAAATGAGTACCTTCCTTCTTGCAACGTCATTTATAATCACTCGCACGAATCAAAACTACGACAATACAAAAGTCAAATACGGAAGTTTTAACGAACACGTATATCTTCTATCCGGGAAATAACGGCTGAGACGGGAAATCACGGATGGGTGAATATCCTTCCTGCACCCGACTCTTCTTTTTTTTGTCGCGCAACTTTTATCGTCGCCGCCCTCTCCTAATTTCGCCACCACCACTACTCGGGAAGCAATTCTGACCGCGAAAACGCCGGTTTTTTTTGTGGTCACGAGCGACTTGATCTTCCCTCACTTTGCGACTTCCTGTCACGTTTTGTACATAGGTAATTGGAGCGCTTCCTTATTAAGCTTTTGCATCCTTTGCATACTCCCATCCCTGATCAGAGGGTCGTCCTTTATAGTTTAGTATGACCACGCAATTGTTAAGAAAAAATAGATTAAGCGATTTAGTAAAACTATTAGCTTGCTGTGCGAATTTAACATTTATAACAAAAGATATATATTTGGTGGTTTAATAAAGAAATTATGTCTAAACGATTATTATCAGTATACTAATTCAGCTATAATGAAATTCTTTGCTACAATGAAAATTGTTAATGTAACAAGTTTAT